TCGATTGAGCCCTTAACGATTTTAGCTGAGCTCGACTCGTTATCAAAACAAACAAGTAATCGAGTTCGAGCTCGACTCATTTCGAATTATAAAATATTAAAAAAAATTCATCTTTTCGAGCCTAATCGAGCTTGACCGGGTTGAGTATTGAGCCGGGTATGAAAGCATTTCGAGAAATTTAAAATTAGAGAAGCCTCATGAATTGTGAATGCATGTATGCTAATAAGATAAAATAATATACATATATATATAATTTTAAAACTAATTACCCAGTTCAGCAATTTGCTCGATAACTCAAAGGCCAACCCGGATTGAGTATCGGGCCGTGTTTCAATGCTTAAGAAACTATATCCATCTAATTCAAAGAAATGAAATACATCACTTTTATCATAATATCAGATATACACAGCCTTTGAAAACTTACTACATGGTTAAGTTACCTTATAACATTAGTAGGTTTAACTGACTTTGTATTGGTCATGAGGTGCTCCTCGCGAGAAGTGATTCAATTTGATTAAGTGTCTCTGTGTTGGTCCTTCATGAATCATGCATCTCTCTCTTATATAGGCATAAGTTAGTTTCCACGTGTGCTTTCCGTGTTAGCCCCTGTTTTTTGTTTTCGGGGAAGGTTTAAGATTGTGATTGCTGCTGAAGAATCCTTTCTCTTTACTCTCACGACATAACATGACACTCAGTTAAATTAAACAAAAAAACAAATAAAGATGCCACCAAACTGTTGGATTTATGTGCTCTTAGCATAATAAGGGTAAATATTCACCATACTAATCTGATCATGGCTGAAGCCGAGATTCCTCAGGTCAGAGGTCACATGATCGTAAAGCAGCAGCTCACCCTTGGAGTTGATAAGAAGCACTTTATCATTATTGAAGAGGCCCATAACCTTAGTAATACCCTCAGCAACCGGGACATGGCATGTGGAGACTTTGGACCAGCTGCCGTCATTCCATACCCAAATCTCGAAACCAAAAGGATGATTCATTTCGGCAGCAAATTGAACTTTGTTGAGATCAAAACAATAATCGTGGACAATGACCGCAAGCGATCCATGATACTCAGCAAGAACAGTATTCCCACAGGATAAATACTTATCCGTCTCGGGCATAGGAATAAGAGCAGCAGGAAACTCGTCCTTATCCATATCAAACGGAATAATAACAAAACGATTATAGCGGACGATCCAATAAGCAAAGCCGTTTATGTGAATAGAACGGCCGTGATAGACACGGAACATGGGTTCATGAGGAAATGGGATTCTCTTCCAGACGCCGGTTTTGAGTGACAACACCTCAGCCTCAAACTCCGACCAGTCCGTAGTGGGACTAAAATAGGGATCATCTTCATTGTGCTCATTAGTGTCGTAGTAATCAATCCTTGTACCCCTGACCACCTTATGGTCCTGAGATGCAGAATCAAACCCGACACCCCAAAGCATATGATCCAAGTGATGCCAGTTAGGGAGATGGGGTTCGACCTCAAAGGGAGCAAGAGTTTTGAACTCGTCGGTCCAAGGGTTCCACAGATGATAGGTGACTAATTCGCGTTCTTTCAATTGTGCCCAAAACAACAACCATGAGTAGAAGGTTGCTACAACACCAGTGTATTTGTTTTTCGTAGTCGGGAAAAGTTGGAAATTAGATGATTGTCACCTGATTGTAGGGGTTTGAAGGAGTTGTTGTGCATTGCGACTGCAGAGTAGTTGCGGGATCCGCCTTGTAGAAGCTGCACCAACATAAATATGGGATTAAGTGTTTTGCTATCCTGCATCAAAGTTGTACCAAGCTCGCCCGGAGTGCTTCCAAGAAACGGTGGCAGCATAAGAGAAGGCGGCCGCATAAAAGGAGGAGGCGGCTGCATAACGGGAGGAAGCGGCCGTATACGAGGACGAATATCCCCGTTAGAAGGACGGGTAATAGACATACCAGAGTACATACGAAGACGATGAGCATAAATCCTACATTTTTCTAATTTGGATAAGGCAGTGGTGGTGATTGATCGGAATACCATTTCTCTGACGAATAAAGAATTCGAAAACCCTAATTCCCCTGATCGCTCGGTTGCCTCTCTCTCTCTCTCTCTCTCGATGGATTCCAATAAACAATTTGATCTTGGCTAATTTGAGTTGAAATGGGACGACCGGGGAAAATAAAATTAGTACGTGCTATGTGCAACATGTATTCATTATTATACTTATATAAATAAAAAAAAAATTATTATATAATATTTATAAAATAAAAATATGAAATCAATAGTAATACGATTTACCTATTTTATTTTACTAGTAAAGTGTACGTGGTGAATATTTCTTGCTGATTAAATTTTGTAGAATAAATAAATTAATTTATTAAACATATAATTGCAGGAAAGAAGTAAAATATAGAACCAATGAGCTTCTAATGGTTTTTTTTTAAAAAAAAAAAATAGCATAATGATGTCCTAATATAAGAAAAATAAAAAATATGGAATCAATAGTAAGGGTCGCGCTCACATGAGAATGGTGCTTAGTGAAAGAAATGAGAATAAATCCGATCTAATGGCTAACAAAAAAAGTCCCGAGTTGGTGTCACTCACTTATGGAAGAGTTTATGGTTAACGTTTGCAAAACACAGTATTATTGTTTTCCTGTTTTGAAGTTATAATCAATAAAATTAAATATAAAACTTTTAAAACGTGCACTTATCGATGTAAACAAGTCGAATTGTTCAACGATTCTTAATTTTTTGTGCTTATTAGTTCTATACGTAAGTTTTAGGTGATAGACAATAGTTATTTGTACTTTTATCAATGTAAGTTAGAACTTTTAATTTTTTTTTTTAAAAAAGAACTTGATTATTATAATTTTAACTAATTTTTTATTTGTCATTAGTTTTTGTTACGAAATATTTCTTATATCATATTACATATATAAAATAATTATTTTGATTATTTAATATTTAATATGTAAAAAATGTAACTCAATTGATAAATTAATAATTAATCTTGAAATAAAAGAATGAGTGATTTTACATGGACTAAAAAGTTCCTGTGTTTAATATATTTTCTATACAATATTTGTAAACACAATTAATTAATAAGAAAAATAACAAAATAATAATTTTAATGTTTAAGAAGAAATACGAAAAAATGGTATATTGCAATGAAAATCCAACAGTATATTATTCCACTAAAAATATCCATGGATATTTCATTGGTTTAACTTTCATTGGAAAATTTCATGGGCTATTCCATCAAAAATCAAATTAAATTACATTGAAATTTTAGTGGATTTAATGATTCTAATTGCCATTAAATTTTTAATCGTAACACTAATTAATAATATGAAAAAGGTAATAAATAAAAATTTCATAATTAACAAAACTAAATATACACTTTTTAAACTTGTATTTATCGATGTAAATGAGTTGAGTTATTAAAGGCTTATTATTTTTTTGTGCTTATTTCTTATATGTGTAAGTTTTAGGTGATAGACAATAGTTATTTGTATTTTAATCAATGTAGGTTAGAACTGTTAAACTTTATTTTAAAAAAAAAATAAAATTGATTGTTCTAATTTTTAACTTTTTATTTGCTATTATTTTTGGGATATAATATATAAATATCATATTACATATATAAAATAATAAATTATTTTCATTATTTAATAATTAATATGTAAGAAATGTAACTCAACTGAGAAATTAATGGGTAATCTAGAGATTAAATAATGAGTGATTTCTGAAAAAAGATTATGGACTAAAAAAAACTACTACATAAAAATTTAATATTTAAGACGAAATACAAAAACCCTACAATATTGCAATGAAAAATCTGAAGGCAGGTATTCGGCTGAAAATTTCAATGGATATTTCACTGGTATAACTTTCATTAGAACTTTTCATTGGCTATTTCAACAAATATCAAATTAAATTACATTGAAATTGTAATTTTAATGATTCCAATTAGCATTATTTATTATTGTGTGAATTTTTATTATTTTTTTCTCAGACCGTATTTCAACCTGACAAAACTATCATTGGAATTGTAAACAAATCAAAAATTAATTGTAGTAGCATATCCAAAATAATTTCATAGTGGGGGAATATTTGAATAGAAAATGTATACCATCAAAATAACACATTGTCATTATAATTTATAAACTATAATTTTATAATTTATCATCTTTCTTATTCGTAATATATTTTTAAGTTTAACACAACAATACAATCACAATAAGTTAAAAAAATATTTAAGAAAAAAAGCATAATATTTTGAAATTCAACATAAGAAAATCACTAAAAATAATATATTTTTAAAATTTTTATGAACAAAAAATTTATACTGTAATATAGTTCGCTCAACTCGACTATATAATTGATGAATTTATAAATTATGAACATATAGCTAGAATTCCATATACATTAGTTAAAAAAGATGTAAAAACATATATTTTGAAGTTAGAGAAAACATTATGTTGCAAAAAAGAGAATATAGCTATCATCAAGATTAAAAAGTAGAATTAGAGGGTAAATTGTAATTTTGAGATTTAATCACATTTTCTTTAATTGTGATACCGCGTTTATGTTATAACTCTAATAAAGTTATGAGTTGAATTAAATTATAATTGGTTGATTTTTAAAGTAATTCATTACGTATTTTCTTTCTTTTAATTTTATTTTCAAAATAGGGGACATGATTAAAATTATGAAAAATATTCCCACAATTGTTGTTAGATACCATATCCTAGATGTTTTGGGACGAGAGCATGTGTCAGGCCTATAAACATGAATCTACTCATGATTCGAACAAAATATTTTTGTTAGAAACTTTTCATTGTAAAACTCAAAAGGGAGTAATAACATTGAAATATTCGTTAGATTGTCGTTGAAATTTCATTGTAATATATATTTGTTGAAATTTTATCATTTTTCTTGTAGTAAAAGTACGGCTTTATATTAATAAAAAAAAATATATTATATATAATATTACGTGCAACAAATTATTATGAAAATTATTGATAATGATAGAAAATATAATACATTTAATGTAATTTTTCATTTAATTTATGATAAATAGTAATTTTTTTCAAAACAAACAAGATACATCTACGTTGAAAAGTCTCTAATTATTCTATTAGTATTATAGTAACTAAACAAGTGATAAGAATGATGTTCTACGTAATAAAAATGTAAGACTAGGCAATCTTAATTTTTTTCAGCTACAAATTTAATTATTGTCTGCCACAATTTTGAAATACTTAATAATTTGTTATTTGTTAACCTTTTTATACGTAATATATCACATCATTTCTTTTCAATGATGTTTAATTTGACCAATGTGCTGTAAATAAAATAAAAATAATATACTTATTTCTATCGATATAAAATAATATATATATATATATATATATATATATATATCAATACTAATTGAAAATAATAAATGGACCTAAAATTATCTTATAAAAAATGATTATAAATCCATGTTAAACAAATTTTATTAAGTATGAAAACAAAAATATAAGATAAACTTGTGTTATATTTTGCTTACATAGATTTGAAATATTCATACAAATAAGAAAAAAACGTACAGAATGGATGTAAACTTACAACTATTACCAACGTTAACTATGTGAATTAAAAGGAGAAATAAATAGAGTTGTATTTTAAACAATTATTCAGTTACTGCATGAAAGGAACACCATAATGGTTGTAACATATAACATATATTTTCACTGAATACAAATGAGTTGATTACTTAATATTTTGTCAAACAATGAAAAAAATCCTAAACTTTTTAACCTTATAACCAGTATATAATTACATGTTTTGTCAAATATATTATTATTATAACTAAATAAATAAGTACTACTAAATAGTATTTATCATATTTCATTATATTTGTTGTAGCCTAATAAATAAGATATTTTGATTACAACATCATTATATAAAGTAGACGCAATACATATAAATGTGCTCTAATTATTTTAACAAATAAATATTAGTTGTGAATTGAATAAGAAACAAATAAAACGAAATAGTAATTCCAAGGAAAAGAAAAAGTTTGAATTTACTTAGAAAAATATGAATACCAATATCTAGAAACAAAGTCTTTTAGAATTACTAAATTTTTTTGCTATAGTCTAAATATATGAACTCTGTAAGAAATTAGTTCTCATAAATAATGATCCTATATTATCAAGAATTTTAAATATAATTAAAATAATAAAAATTTTGTAATACATAACGTAAATTTTTTATCTAATAAAGTTCACAGAGCGACTAAGAATATCATAATATAATAAAATTATAATTCTTCTCTTCTCAAATATTTAACAAGTGATATGCTTCTTAATATTGTCTCATTGTTTTGTTTTATTTTTTATTTTTATTTTTATTTTTTGTCCAAGAAAGGATCTTTATCTTGAATTTTCGAAGCATTATGTATGATTCAAATAAATTGGACAATAAAAGCATTAAAAAAGTTATTAGGCACGTAAATACTGCAAATTCGAATGTTCGTACTATTTGTGTGGGAACACAAGGGGTATAGGACCGTTCATCCCAACACACACCCACACGGATGTGTGTGTGTCTATGATTCGACGAAGGATCGAACTTACCCCTTTAACTTCCTTACGCAAAGTCGACTGTATGGATAATACCATGCCATCTTCTTTTCAATTAAGTTACCCTACATTAGTCTCTGTCATTATAATTTGCAGTGCCCACTATTTTAGAACCAATTTCAAAACAGGCATGAAGAACTTCTTAACCAAAAGGCCAACAGCATAAGGAATGATATTATTCATCACAAGAATTTCAATATCCTCAACTCTGTGTAATCTCATGGAAGCACCAAAAACTTGAAATTGACATAGGAAAAACACACAAAAAACAAAATTAAAAATTCGGGTCATCAACCTCAGAACCTAATTCCGATCTTTCATACTATCTAACCGAAGAAAGCTGAAAATCTTCACATCTCAACTAAACAATCGAGAACACACAGACGAACACAAAAAACTAAAT